TCATATTTCAGCAGGCCTGCAGAAAAGGCATGATCAGCTATCCACATATGATAGATGAAAAGATAGACTCGGAGAAGTTCAGTTGCTTTTTCAAGGTCAGATAGGTAGTCAGCCCTAGAACAACATTTAGACTATAAAGCGTATAGTGCTTTCTTCTCTATCACTCTCTAGCTTGCCAGTTCAAATGGTGAAGTTAGCAAACATCAGACTTGAATTTCCTTTTGTAAGCTTTTGATATCATCCTGACCTAAGACATGTTCTAGAAATATAATTAGCTTAAATATTAATCGACTATTCTAATGCTACGTCCTGTCTCATGCTTTACATGCAAACATATTTTAGAATTATTTCTATTGGAACATTGGACATATTTCTCTTTTGAAGTTTCAGATTTACCTCTCCTTTCAAACTCACTTAGCTATGCAAAAATATACAACGTTCATCAGACTGCTTGACTTTGTTAACAGCATATTCATTTACATAGTTAAGTGCTCAGAAAATAAGCTTTGTTCAAAGACTGAAAATTATCAAGAATTTTTAATTTTTAGTAATAATTGTCTATTTGCTATAAGAACAATCCTTCAAAAGCCTGATCCAAATGTAAACATGTAAAATATTTTTTTCTCTTGTTTTCACTAAGGGACTGATTTGTGTTTGTACAGTTGATCAACATACTAAGTTATTAGAACTTTTAAAATAGAAAATTTAGTATAACATACCTTTAAAATGCCAAAAACCAGAATTCATATAGTTCCTCATATAGAAATAGACATTAAAAAGTGATCTGAAATTATCTGATTTCATGTATGTTAAAGAGTCTGAATCATTCATGTACGATAGGTAAATTTATCTATAGTTAAAACTATATTGTTTTAAATTATAACCCTGTGTTACATTTCTAAGTTTTATAGGGCTTCAAGTACTGTAAAATCATCTAAATTAACCTTTGACAGGTTTATGCTTGTAAAGGAGATTTATACCTGAGCAATTTACTTGGAATAAAAACCAGAGCTGTCACTGTTTTTAATATCTTCCTTTCTCCCTTTGACAAATTCCACAAATACCACATATCTTCTCCTGATCCATAAAAAAGAAATCTTAAATTAATTATGTTACCTAAACCATTGTAATTATTGATAATGGTCTAACATCTACTCCCGTCTTCATTCACAATAATAAAAAAGGCTGAAGTCAAATCCCCTCGAGCTCTATGAAAACAGGTCTATGTCACATGCCGAAGTCTTTGGCTGTATCTACATGCCTTTTCCTTTCCCTTTTAGATTATATGATAGATCAGGATCAGCAAGTTTTTCTGTAGGCATCTAGATAGTAAATATTGTAAGCTATGCAGGCAACAAGGCTTTTGTTGCATCTATTCAACTTGGAGCTGCAGTGCAAAAGCAGCCGTAGACGACACATAAATGAATAGATCTGGCTGGATTTAGCTGGCGCCCTACTGGTTTAGGCCCACAGCAGTAGTTTGATGACCCCTGAGCTAAGTCATGGGGAAAACAGTAAAAAAGTATTGTGTTACTACAATGACCTGGGGTATCTTAATATTTAGCTGGACAGGAAGAAACCATTCACAGCCAAACTGATTGTAAATTGCTTCAACACTAAATACAATTAATCTTGACCCAGAGATTGCTAAATGCAATAGCTCACCAAAATTAGATTCTACTTTTCCAGAAAGCCATATATTTTTGTTAAGCATATCACCAGGTAAACAAAGCCCCACTCTGTGGCCAGGCTTTCTAAACTGTCTGCTACCTCCCTCTCTTTCCTTATTTCCCCAACTCACTCCAATTCCCCTGGACATAGTAATTATTTTATTTCATTTTTTTCCCCAGGAGAGTCAAGGTACCACCACCTCCTACCTATATAAAAAGTGGTTTCTATTTCCCCTACATCTGCTACCAAAGTTGAGGCTAACTTCATTCTTAACCTCCTCCTCCCTTGCTGCTTTCTATGGTATCAACTGGACAAGCTAAATGCTCACTCTTCTCAGCTTCTCTTGCAGCTTAGTATGACCAAGTAATAAAGTTCAGGACAATAAATATCTCATGAAAGACTGCTGGGGGTGGGGAGGGGTATTCTGAGAAAGATTTTATGTTTTTTAAAAAAGCAGAGGGAGTTACAACTGCCAGAATCTCTCCCTCCCCCTTTCTTCCTACCTTAATGCAAACATGGTACCTGGAATTGGAGTGACCATTTTGCAACCAGGAATTCTGTCCCCTTAGAAGATGCTAAGAGAACTGGAGAGGTCCAACACTGAAAACTTTTAAGCCAGTGAACCTATGTTAGAAGCCACTTATCTCCAGAGTTGTTACATGGGAAAAAACAGACCCCTGTGAAGCAAAATTTTGTTACAAATAAAAGCATTGCTAATTTACCTTTCATGAAAGTGCTACCATCCTGGGGCACTACTCCTTGCGAAGTCAAAGACCAAACTGGCTGAGCCCAGTCTTCGTAAATTCTGACTCAACAGTACTACTTTAACCTAGAGAAAAAAGTAGCAGGAAGAGGGCCTAGCCTGAGAGTTGACAACCCAGGCAATAAGGCCACTGAAGGCAAAGAAGAGAGAAGCCCGAGAAGAATATTCAAATGCTAGAGGTCTAGAAAAAAAATAATTGAAAAATACTCCTTCAGAATTATGGGGCCAGTAAGCCATACGAATGTTCCACTCAGCCAATCAAATCTGAGAATTTTGATTATATTACAATCATGTACTTCTACTTTTTGAAAAATACAAATTCATAACTCATTTTTATAGCTGTATTTTGTGTTTTTCAGGCTGATTAATTTACTTTTATGCTTCTACTTTGCTAGTATTCAGAAAGGTATAGTTACTCTCAATATATGATCATTTTTTGGCACTTGAAGAACCTTTGAGATAATTAATAACAATCAAGTTAATGATGATACTGACACCTATAAGGACAAAGGATTTTTCAGGCACACTAGTTTATCTGGCAGGTCCATCAACTAACTTTAGGGACAGTCACTTCTCTTTTTATATCAATGCCACTACAAAAAACGCTAAAAAATAAATGATGCTACCCAGTCAAAAGAAACCTCAGAAATGATTATTTTAATGCACATATTCCTTAAAATACAATTTTTAAGTTAAAACACCAGTTTTTATTTTACTTTCTTAAAATTATATATGAGGGGGACCCCCTTGAATTGGAATTACCTTCTGGAGGGTGGGCCCCTTGTAGCCAGGCTTCCCCAGCTGGGTGAATGTTCTAGGAACCCGTCTGTAGCAGAGTTCCAGCTGGCGTTGTTTTGAAAAGCTGTGTTCGGCTTCGGTGAATTTTTTTGGAAGACTTTCAATGCATTTGCCCATTTCATGAGGGGTGGTTTATGAGCCTATCGGTCCACACCACACTGAGTGTTCAGCAGTTTTGGATCAAAACTGCATGACCCCCATGTTCCACCCTCTCTATGTAACCAATCTCTCCCTGAGCGACATTTTTTGTTTCCCCGGATGAGAAAACTCCTCAAACAGAAACATATTTCCTATGGGAAGAAGGTGAAACAACAACAACAAAAAAAATGGCAGAAATACTAAGAGGCATCAAAATCAATGAGTTCCAAAACTCATGTTTTAAGCAATGGAAAAAAACATCTCCATAGGTGTACTGCATTAAATGGAGAGTGCTTTGAAGGTGACTGAAGTTTAAACATGTAAAAATAAACACACAATTTTTAATAAATAAATTCCATTTTTTTGGCCCCCCCTTGTTCATGTATATACACATACACATACAGAGATACACGAGTGTTTGTGTATATATATAATATATAATATATATATATATCCAAGCACCACTTAACTTGGGGATATATTCAAAGAAATGCTTCATTAGGTGATTTCATTGTGTGTGAACATCCTAGAGTGCACTTATACAAACTTGGATGGTACAGCCTACTACACACCCAGACTTTATGCTGTAGTTTATTGCTCCTAGGCTACAAGCCTGCACCGCATGTTACTGCACAAAACAACACAGATTAAATCAAGCACAAGAGAAAATGATGCAATCAAGGGACATAGGAAGCATGAGATGTATGAGGCTGCTGCCTGTGTAACATGGCCCACTGTTTGACAGCAAAACTATTTTTTTTAAGTAGAAAGAATACACTCTAAAATTACAATAAAATGTATAGTACAGCAAATACATAAGCCAGTAACAGTCATTTATTATCATTTTCAAGTATGAGGTACTATACATAATTGTATGTGCTGTACTTTTATATGACTGGCAGCACAGTAGGTTTGTCTACACCAGCATCACCACAAACACAGGAGCAATACATTCCACCATGACATTAAGATGGCTGTGACATCACTAGACAACAGGAATTTTTCAGCCCCACAATCTTACGGGACCATGTTTGCATATTAGGTACATCGCTGACCAAAACGCTATGTGGCTCATGACTCTGTGAACACACACTCACACATACTCTCTCACACATACAGCCTCCCCAGTTCTAATGCCAACAGTTTTCTCCTCCATGAGAACAGTTGGTGGCATCTTGCTGCAGTGTAAAATACTTATCGATTGTAACATCTATAAATTACAACAGTTTTTAAAGTGTTTACGCTTTCAGAGTAGAATTACTTAGGAATGCCAAAGGTTTAGCTAGAAAAAATACCAAATACAAAGAGGCTTCAGGTTCAATTGCAGTAGTGGAACAGAATTTAATAAAGTTCCAGCACTACATTTTAATGCCCAAATTTCTTCCTTTTTTAGTTGACAAATATGTGCTCCACAGTATAACGGCAGCAGCAGAACAGCTGGGTGGCGTACCAAGCACAAAGGAAGCAACAGCACATGCTGTTAAGTGTCGTTCTGCTTGCCTAGAAATGGAAGCTCATGCAGATTTATCTCATTATAAATTAGAACAATTATTTCTCTGGAGTTTACATTTTCTTGATAAAAGGGTCAAACTTCCTGCACGGTAAAAAAGAGAACTTTCAAAAAGGATATCTTCCCTTTCTTTGATGATCAGTTCATTCTGTTCTTCCAACTGCCTGATCTTCTTCTCAAATGATTCCTGTTCAGCTTTGAGTCGTTCTTCTGTCACCTCCTTTTCCTCACTTACTCTGAAAGGGAAAAAAGGAAAAGAAAATGCCCATGAGAATAAAATAGAACATGTGCCTACAGCTGCAGTTTACCAAAACTAGACATCTTCCAGAGGTCTGCTTACCTCTTTCAGAGGTTCCTTCAGGGACACTCTAGGTGTTTTTTTCATTTTTTAAAGGATATTTTATTGATTATGCTATTATAGTTTCCCCTTTTGGCCTCCCTCCGTCTGGGACCTCCCTTCCTTCTGGCAATCCCCCCTAGTTCATGCCTACCTTTTCTAAGGCAATCTTTCACACCTTTGCAATAAAACGCGCAAGTGAGTTTAAAATCCAGTATGTTATCAGAGGTATCTTAAATATGGAAAAGTCCAACATAAAACACAGGTTCCTAATTATAATATATAGTATTATATATTATATATATAATATATAATTATATATTATAATTATAATCTAGGACAGAAAAATATTGATTTTTAAAACACTAGTTTTCATTTCTTCATTATCAAAATAGGCAGTCAATTTATTTGGATTTAGATATTTTTATACTTTTATTTAAGTACTGTCAAAGACAGAAACAACATATAAACCACTTAAACATTTCACTAAATATACATAGGAATTTTGTTCCTTTTTTTCCCAGTACTGATACCCTGCATTCCTCAGTAACATATAAATAACTAAACTAGAGTAAAAACATGACATTTACATAAAAATTTTGCACTACATTTATTTCTTAGTCCAAAAAAAATTTTAAATAAAAAACACCAATCCCAAATTTTTTATTCTTTAATGCCTAATTCTGAAATGTATTCCAACTCAATTCTACCAAAAAGGGGCGGTCCTTAACAAGAACAAAGAAGGAAAAAAATCTTTAAAAAACTCCACAGAAACAACTAAATAGAAACATTTAAATTTATTTTAAAATAAGAACCCTAATTTTCATATTACTCTGTGCAGAGATGTTAGCCCTGAATTTCTGATACTTGTGCTTGTTTCTCCTGAGAGAGTACAACTCAATTACCCTACAGGATCAAGCGGGGATGTGTGTTAAGTGAAATCCACAGGGAATCCGATCCTTTCCTGTGAGTTCCTAAATTTACTTTCTCCCAGAATTCTCTTCTACCAGAACAATTTCTGAATAATATGAACTCCATTACTCTTCCTTTCTTGCTAGCCTTCTGGTGGAAATGTTGAAATCAATGATGTTAATATAACAGAATGAAAATTAGAATTTTAGAGTATTTAAGAGTTGACTGTATTTTCTTTAAAATAATTTGTGTGAAATGTATGGCACACTGCAGTGTTCAAAAAGATAGTTTTATTTCTTCTTGTTCATCTGGACATTCAAATCATTTCCTCAACCCTGTACTTATGGTTCTCATACTATCAGACTGATGAATGGTACTCAGGCCCTTCTTTCTAAGAAGGTAATCTCTAAAACTGATATAATTACAAGGAATCCAGACAACTAAACAAAGAACAAATATACTACATGAAGAGGACTTATACGCCTGCCTTGTAGATTGCCAAATTTACCTTAACATCACACAAAACAGAGAGATAATCTCTAGAGACTGCCAGGTCAGAGCACACAGGTACACCCCAACATTTACTTAATCCCTTTGTTCAACCTGAAAGAGATCCAGGAGAACACTAGGGATCATTGCAAGCACAATTGCTGGTACACACATCCCATAAAGCCAGGGTCTATGAGGAGTTTTTCCCAAAACTTAAAACTGCTCTATCCAGAAAAAGTTATCACGACATTATTTAAAGTGTTTTTTGTTTTTTGTTTTTTTTTTTTTTGGTCTTTTCTGTTATGCTGCTATGATTAGACTATCCTTTACTATACTCTGGAAGGCTATAAAATTAACAAGCTGTGGTAAGTACACAGTGCAACACTTACAGGCCTTCTTTGTGGCCAATTAACACAGTTAATATCAGCAAGTATATCCATACAGCTTTTGAATGGAGAGGACTTGCCAATAAAACAACCTCAAGAATTGATATTCACCATGAAATCTGCCTTCTTGTTTAATTTATGTTCAATAATATCTCCCATGAGGTATATGTAAGAGAAAATATCTGGTTTCATGAGCTACATTTTTCATCAAAGCATTATCAGACCACACAGTATCATAAAAAGACTTAATCCTCTATCTCATTTAAAGTATAACAAGCTAATTAACAAAATGAGAAGCTAAATACAGAAAAGGGAAATATTTAACTAATAGGACAGAAGAGTTAAAACTGGCAAAAGGATATTCCCAGAGTTAGTTTGTTAATTATTTACAAAGAGCACAATAGTCTGTCCAAAAGTAAGACTGTTAGCATTTATTTAATGCCTCAGCGTATTTCTCAAAAACCTCAACAAAATGTATTGTTATCTAACATGAAAAGAGAATCCATAACCTTAGAGTTGGGTGGTTGGGCTGAAAGTTGTACTGAAAGTCCTGAATTTCTTTGAAGGCTCATGGTTTAGCTTAAACATCCCTGAGTATTTTATATTTTTCTCCAAACAACCATCTTTTCTGTTTTTAAAGGTTTCCCCACACCCACCTATTATAAATTTTTTAGTAAAACTCATGTTCTAGAAAGAGATTTATTATATGACTGCAACCCCTGGTGTTCTTCTAGGTAATCTAGGAAAGTTACTTATACACTAATGTGAAAGACAAGGTCAAGTCAGCAAAACTTCTATCCCAAAGAGAATTACAGCTCACCCATGGTCGACCCAATAAATCTCTTCCCCTATTTAACACCTTGCATTTGCGAGCTAGATAGTCTGGCTGCATTTTATAAATTCTGTGTATCAGCTTAGTGGGTAAGATTTGGAGAGGGAAGGAACAGATTTCATAGAACATCTAGCAAATAGAAATATTGTTTTCAAGCAAAAGTAAGTGGCCCTGGCTGGGTGGCTCAGTTGGCTGGAGCATTGTCCCATACAACATAAGGTTGCAGACTCAATTCCTGGTCAGGGCACATACCTATGTTGTGGGTTCGATCCCCAGTCAGGGTGCGTATGGGAAGGCAACAGACTGATGTTTCTCCTTCACACTGATGTCTGTTTGTCTCTCTCCCTTTCTGACCCCTTTCTCTCTCTATCAAAATCAATAAACATATCAAGCAAGGATTTTTAAAGAAAGTAAATATGTGATAAAAAGAATGACTTTCATCATTAAAAAATATTTCAATGAAATTATCTTAATGTCCTCTTTACAAATTTTAACATTTGGCTATTGTTTAAGATGTGTTGTCTAAAAGAACATAGATGCTTTAAGAAATCACAGACAGCAATCAATGTGAAAAGGCTCGACGGAGAACTACATAAGAACTACGAAGTAATACTGAATGAATGCAGATGTAAAAATCCTCAACAAAATACTAGCAAACAGAATCCAGCATCATAAAAAAGGATGAAACATCACGACCAATTGGGATCTATTCCAGGAATGAAAAGTTGGTTTAATACTCAAATATCAATTAATGTATTGATAATACACTATATCAAGAAAGTAAAAGGACAAAATCCATATGATCATCTAATTAAATACAGAAGAGTTTGAAAAAAACCCCAATAATTCAAAATTAAAAAAATAGGAAGGGAAAAACAAAGTTCCTTAATCTGAAAAGGGTCATCTATGGAAAATCTACATCTAATACCATATTTAATGTTAAAAGTCTGAATTCTTTCCTCCTATGATCATGAACAAGACAAGGATCATCTGCTCTCACCACTTCAGCACTGCACTGTAGATTATAGTCAGAGTAATAAGGTAGGAAAAAAGAAATGAAAGGCATCTAAATTCTAAAGGAAGAAGTAAAGCCATCTCTATTTCAGGACATGATTTTGTACACAGAAAATCTAAGAAATACACTAAAAAACTATTACAACTAATAAAAGTGTCCATCAAGGTTTCAGGATAGAAGATCAATATACAAAAATCAACTGTATGTTTGTACACTAGCAGTGAACAAACCCCTCAATCCAAATTAAGGAAGTATTTGCATTTAAATGCAATTAAATTTACATTTGCATGAAGAGAAATAAAATACAAAGGAATAAATTCAATAAAAGAAGCAAGACTTGTATGCTGAAAATTACAAAACACTGCGGGAAGAAATTAAAGATCTAAATAGATGGAAAGACTTTCTGCATTCATTAATGGAAGACATTATTTTTAAGATGGCAGTACTACCCACATTGATCTTCAGATTCAACTCAATTTCCATCAACATCTCAGCTGGTTTACTTGCAGAAATTGACAAGTTGATCTAATCCTAAAATTCATATGAAAATGAAAGGGACCCAAACATACCTTGAAAAAGATGAAGGACTCACATTTTCCAATTTCAGCACTTACTAAAAAATGACAGTTACCAAGACAGTGTGATACTGGCATAAGGACAGGCATACAGATCAATGGAACAAAAATAAACACTCACATTTACAGTAAACTAATTTTACAACCAAGGTACCAAGAAAATCAAAGGGAAAGAATAGTCTTTTCAACTAATAGTGCTGAGACAACTTGAATACACATGCAAAAAAACTAAAAATAAACTGAGTCCCCTACTTTACATCATATACAAAAATTAACTCCAAATGAATCAAAGACCAAAATGTAAGAGCTAAAATGATAAATTCTTGGAAGAAAACATAGGCATAAATCTTTATGACCTTGGATTAGGCAATGATTTCTTAAATACGACACCAAAAACACAAGTAATAAAAAAGTAGATAAACTGGACTTCATCAAAATTAAATACTTTTGGGCTTCAAATGATACCATCAATAAAGTAAAAAACAATATGCAGAATGTGATAAAACTTTTGCACACAATTTATCTGGTAAGCAACTTACAAAGGCAGTACATAAAGAACTCTCAGAACTCAAAAATAGAAAGACAAAAAAATATTTGCAATGGCTGAATAGACTTTTCTCTAAAGAAGATACACAAATACCCAAGCATTGAAAAAGATGCTCAATATCATTAGTCATTATGAATGTATAT